TTGTCTTGCGTTGCCCGATGCAATTCATCGAATCATCTATGAGCATACCTTGTTGTAGAACTGGCCCTTTGAGGAAAACTAAGAACCCGGTTGCTTTTTTAATTACAGGTGGGAAACAGAACAGTCAAAACCAGGCAGAGAAACCGTTCCATTGTAATGTGTGCGATGGAACATTTTCCCGATACTCGTCGCTTTGGTCCCATAAGAGACTGCATTCTGGAGACAAACCTTTCAAGTGTGATATTTGCGGCTTGGCTTTTGCAAAAGGTGACTGCTCACGAAACTTCTAATACAATTCGGTATATACAAGCGCAGGGTGCACGCATTTAAGTGCACTAGCAGCTTAATAGTTTCTTTTCAAAGAATTATTCCACAAAAAATTGTTGCATTATATTGGTTCAGATGACTTCTTAACCCTTTGAGTGCTGCGATGACAATTATAAGCCTATGCGATTAATGTACGTGTTTCTTATTATTCTTATTATTCAATATGGTGAAACCGAGGTATTACAATTACAATTTAATTGCAACTTAATTATACGAATTAACATAATCCATCGATCTTCAGACGAGCATAAAAATATTCTGTCCACACGGAACGTTTCGGCTGGGAGTGTTCAACGCTCAGAGGGTTAACCGTAATCAAAGATTTACCGATAGATCCTCTCAACCGTCGATCACTGAACCCTAAGAATCTTGAATGACCGCCGTTTCGATGATTGCAGCCGCTTATCTGAAGAATCACGGAAGAGTGCATACCGGTGAGAAACCGTTCAAATGCTCTGTCTGTGGTATGCAGTTCTCACAAAGTCCTCACTTAAAGAACCACGAAAGAATTCATTCTGGTGAACGCCCTTATCAGTGTGAAGTGTGTGAAAAAACATTTGCCAGACATTCGACCCTTTGGAACCACAGGAGAATCCACACCGGTGAAAAACCTTACAAATGTAGTATATGTGGCTCGGCCTTTAATCAAGCTACACATCTGAAGAATCACGCGAAGGTCCACACCGGTGAAAAGCCGCACAGGTATATAATAACGCGTTTCGTGTGTTCGGGAACCTTGGTTACATTTCAATCGACTCTTTCAATTTACCTCATTGATCCGTATTCTGGAAACACGGACATTCCCCTGTAATAACTAGACTGCGAGTCCTTTGCTGCAAGTTATTTTTAATCTACTAAAATTAATCGCCACAGATGGCTTTATACATGTTTTTACTTTATCCATAAGATTATTAACCCTTTGCGAACCATAACTTTTCAAACCTCTAAAAACTCTTTCCATAAGAAATTGAATTATGTATTAAGATCTTAAATATCAGGTTAATATGTCACTGCGTATAAATCCCTCACCGTTTAAATAATCAAATTATTCATTTACAGCTTTCGATTGTAGATACGGAAACTCGAGGTCGTCATTACGACATTCGACCGCAAAGGGTTAAAGTCGCTTGACCACCCGTAGCCTAGCAATGACAATTGTTAACACGTTCGCGGCCGTGAATGCTATGGCATTCATTTTCATTGCGATGCAAAATGACATAATAGCTTTAATCTTTTGAGATTATTATGCACTTTAACCCTCGGAGTACTGCATTTTAGTATGATTTTTGTAGCTCGTTAAAATGTTCACTGTCCGCGAACGTGTTAGGCACGGGTGAAACCGACAGTTCCAATAAACTCTGCTGATCCCCTGTCTTCTTCTAGATGTGATATATGTGAGATCGGTTTCTCCGATCGCTTCGCATTAAAGCGTCATCGTGCAATCCACGAAAAGTACGGGCAGACCGCCCGCAACCAGAACGCGAACAACCCGACGAACGCACAGCAGCCGAACGCGAGCAATCAGCAGCAGCAGCAACAGCAGCAGCCCCAGCAGCAGCAACAGGGTCAACAGGTAGTCGTGGTGAACACCACAACCCCAGTTACCGTGAGTCAAGGCCAAGGGCAAGCGGTAATGCTCGAAGAAGTCTACAAGTGTCAGGTGACTTTCCCAGAGCCTAAATGATTCAGCTAGAGAATACCTTTCAGGAGCTGGTAAAGGGGTTAATTTTCTAACCTTTTTTTTTATTCAAATGAACAACGTCAATACAAAACAACCACATCATCAACCAACAACAACTACAACAAATGACGAACAGATCCCTAATTGACATTGAGACGAACTGACAGTCGGTGGCGTGCGAGAATCGTAGGAACGTGCGTGGTGCGGAAGAGAGAACCGATGGAGGAGTGCGGCGGGTTTCCGGAGTGACTGGCGAGGCACGCTTTTCGTGAAGAGATTCAGGTTCCGACGGGAAGGATCGGCGTGGCGTGCGCGGACATGCAAACGCCGGAACACAGTCGATTATATTATATATAAATATATATATATATATATATATAAATATAATTATACATACGTCTGAGGCATGAAACGTATCGAAAGAGCGAGAGAGCGAAAGAGAGAGAGTGAGAGAGAGCGAGCGAGCGAGAGAAAGAGAGAGAGAGAGAAG